CCACAAGCCCCGCCTTCCTCTAAGACCCCGCCCCCAGGCCCCTCCCATTGTCCAAAGTCAGCCCCCCAATGCCAGGTCACACTCTCTAACTCCACCCACGCAACTGTAGTTCCCGCCCAACTTGAGAAACCCCACCCCGACCCCGTACCTGTTGGCTGCGAATTTTTGGCAGATAAATCCCCCGGGAATCTGGGTGACAATGTAGCCCCAGAAAAAGGAGCCGTGTATGAGGCCGACAGTCTCTGGATCCCAGTTGAACTGAGCTTTCTGTGGGCCGAAAAGCACGTCAAACCAGTCGCCGGAGTTTGCACCCCCGACCTCCACCAATCAGCACCCACAGACTTAGTCCCTTGGCCAATCCGCAACAAGGATCCCTCTCGCGCCCCGCCCATCAGAGCTCAAGTCTTCCCTCGGTCCAGACCGAACTAGGCTTCTCCCCGTTGTTAGGGCCTGAGCTGCCTTAGCAACGGGGCCTGTAGCTGCCTAGACCCCTCAGTCTGCCTCTGGCCCTGCCTCAATGTCCCGGCTCTGAATGTCTAGGGACCCATATCCGGGGTGGCGATTCTTTCTCTACTTCTGACCAACTTAGGAACTGCTTGCCCAGTAACCTGGACGAGTTCTAGTCAAGGAGAAGAAGTAGCCAATGGGGTCGGCCTGATTGGAAGGGAGCTAGAGGCGGAGTAGACCACAGCCATAATCAGAACTTTGTTTTCTGAGACAGAGGCATGGCCTACCCGGAAATTAAAATAGGGAGAAAGCCCAGCGGGTGTGGCTCAGTGGATTGAACGTTGTCCCATGGACCCAAGAGGTCCCAGGTTCGATTCCCAGTCAGGACACATGCCCAGGTTGCAATGTTTCTATCTCTCCCTCTTCCTTCCTCTCTATCTAAAAATCAATAAAAACATATATATTTTTTTAAAGATAGGGAAAAAGTCTGATGTGAGGCGGGATTTAGGTAATAGCCAGAGCAGATGAAGCGGGATTTAGCAGGGGTAGCCCTTCAGAAAAGTCAGGATTAAAACTCGGTGGGGCCAAAACCGGTGTGACTCAGTGGATAGAGCGTCGGCCTGAGGACTGGGGGGTCCCAGGTTCGATTCCGGTCAAGGCCATGTACCTGGGTTGCGAGCACATCCCCAGTGGGGGGTGTGCAGGAGGCGGCTGATCGATGTCTCTCTCATCGATGTTTCTAACTCTCTATCCCTCTCCCTTCCTCTCTGTAAAAAAATCAATAAAATATATTTAAAAAAAAAAACTCGGTGGGGATGCCCAACTGCTATGGCTCAGTGATTGAGCGTTAACCCATGAACCAGGAGGTCACGGTTTCATTCCAGTTCAGAGCACATGCCTGGGTTCCGCAATCGATCCCCAGTAGGGGGCGTGCAGGAGGCAGCCGGTTGATGATTCTCTCTCATTGATGTTTCTATCTCCCTCCCTCTCTGAACTCAATAAAAATATATTTTTTAAAATTCAGTGGGGAGCTTGTGATGGGACTGGGATGAAGATGTGACCTTGGGACAGGTGTGGGATGCGGGTGGAGCAAAAGTTGCTAGGAGGCCCAAAATGAACAAAGGGCAATATATAGGGCACCTAAAGCTGGGGCCGAGTCCACATTTTCGTTTTAGGGACCGGATCTCAATAGGGGCGGAGCTTCATGTAGATCAGGGCGGGGCTTAGGAAAGAAGATCCCGGGAGACGAGTCAGAGGAGAGGGGGCAGCACAGATGGGCGGGGCTACTCGGGCTGTGGCGTGGAGGGGGCGTGGCCTGGGCTGCGCCGGGTGGACATGACGTCATCAGGGCGTAGGCGCCCCCGCGGCTCCCGCCCTGCGCTACCTGCACCACCAGGTGGCCGTTGCGATGGGTCGTACTGTTGTTGACCATGGAGACGATGGCCACGCCCAGGTTGCAGCGGATGCCGAAGCTGATGCAGAAGCCCAGGCCGCTCATGATGGCGATTATGTAGCGGCGCGGGAGGCCGAAGCAGGTGCAGTCCACCACCGGCGGGTCCCGCGTCTGCGTCGTGACCGGAATTCCACGCCCCCAGCCCCTCCTCCCCCAGACTCAGGTGTCCAAGTCCTCAGGTCCCTTCTCTCCCAGCCCTGCCATCTCTCAACTCAGCAGTTTTACACCCTCACTACCCTTTGCGGTCCAACAGCCTGTGCCCCACCCCCCACCCCAAGGCCCAGGCTCTCTCTAGCCCCCTCCCCCAGACACGAGTCTATTTGAGGAAGCAAAAGGCGCTAAGGAGATGCTTCAGCAAAGGTGTCAGCAGAACAGATGCTTCTCAGCCACGTCTGCTTGTATGCCGACGCCCCTCCCCCTGCCTCCATGGCTGCCCTCCTGCCCCGAGGCCCCAGGTGTGGGGCTGACAGCCAGCTGACTCCGTTCAGCCACCAGCAGCCCATTCCTAGGGCCTCGGGGGTGGGGAGACTTCCGGGACCCTGGACTCCAGCAGTGCAGCCGGGCATCCCTGGGGAGCCTTGAGTTCAGGCCGTCAGCCTAGGGGATGGGGAGGGGGGTGGTGGGTGGTGTCCTGGCAAGGGACAGATGGCCCTGGTGGGGGACTTGGCTCAGTCCCCAGCGAGCCTGTCGCCCCCGCCCGTTCTGGATCAGGGATTGAGGCTGTGATGACGGAGACGGGTAGGATAGTTGGAGAGCCACCTCCAAGCCACAGAGAGGCTGCGGAAAGAGGTGTCCAGAGGTGCGGACAGACCCACAGGGAGGCTGGCTTGGGAGAGGGCGGAGGCTAAGGAAGAAGGTCAGAGATACAGAAGGAAGCGAGAGACCCAGAGAGAAGGGGTCAGAGACCCAGAGAGACAAGGAGAGAATAAGATAGGGGGACCCACCCCAGGAGAAGGGGAAACAGAACAGTGACCCAGAAGGGAGGGGACAGAGACCAGAGGCAGGGGACAGGAACCCAGGGGAGAGGACGTAGATACAGAAAACCGAGCGTTGAACGATGGAGAGACTAGGCTGCTGAGGAGACGGGCTGGGGCTGTGATTGGTGAGGTGCGGCTCCCCTCCGAGGCGGGGAAGCAGCCAGAGGATCCGGCTGGATCCCAGGAAGGGGCCAGAACAGATGGAGGCGAGGGAGACTGGGACGGGGGAGGAGAGAACAGCCAGACGGCCAGGGGGGAGGCGGTGGAAGAGATGCGAGAACACAGCCACCCTCCCGATCCTAGAACTTAAGGAGAAGGGAGGAGGAACCGTAAGAAACGGATGGGGGGCGGGGGGGAGTGGACCAACCCCAGGGGGTGAGGAATGAGACCCTGAGAGAGCTGGAGAGAGGAGGGAGGGAGCCCCCGGAATGGCTCCTACAGGGTGGTAGGGGCTGCCCACTCCCGTCAGAACCTGTCAGCCAATGAGATTAGATTTTGACCAGGTGGGTATCAGATGCTATTTGACCCTGAAACTCAAGAAGTGATTGCGGCCCCGCAGCTAAAACCAACATCAAGGCGGTCCCGCCTCGGGGCCTGTGTCTGCTCCTCTCGCCCAGACCTCTGTCCCCTTTGTCCCTTAGCTTCTCTCTCCTCTCTCCCCACGTACCACTAAGGAAACTGAGGCACAGAGAGTGAAAGCAGCACGTCCAAGGTCACCGGCGAGAAGAGCGATGGGGCCTGCTCGCGTCCTGGCCCCCGGCATCACCAGCCCAGGGCCCGGCACACAGAGAAGGCCCTGTGGCTCCTGGTCTCGCCTCCATCCCTCCCACCCCCCCTTCTTGTCCCTAGTCGCCTAGTTTACGTCTGTTTCCTGGTCTGGGGGAGCGTCCCCACCCACTGGAGTTGGAGCTTCATGCATCTCTAGGAAAACCACAGCCCCAGCGCAGGTGGGGAGGGGCTGGCCTGGGTTGGATGATGGCTCAGCCCCAACGCCTCCCTCCCCTCCAGCTAAGCCTCAGTTTCCCCAGCTTCGTCTAGAGGACCGAATGGGGGTCGTGTCCAGCACAGAGCATCACCCTTGTCTCCAACCATCGCAGTGAACCCTAAGATTCCTCCGTGACTGTGCTGGCGTGAGCACTGGGCTTGGGGTGCCCGGCGGGCCTGGGAGGCAGCTCAGGGCGGGGGTGAGAGTAAGGCAGGGCCCAAGCCAGAGAAAGCCAGACCCAGATGAGAGGCTGAGGGGCTGAGAGGGAGGGAGGGGGCCTGAGGGACACACCTCTCCCCTGCAGCACCCCCAGCCCAGCCTCCATCAGCACGTCTCTCCCTCTGTCTCCTGACTTCTCACGGATGTATTTTGAGAAACTCGTGAAAGGAGGCGAGAAAAAGGGTGGGGAGGGGCTGGGAGATGGGGAGACGCAGGGGTGGGGTTATCTCAGCTTCCCACCGCCTCCCTGCCGCGCGTGCCATCCTCCGGCCCCCTCCCTTCTGTCCAGCCTCATTCCCATCTCCCCTGTTACTAGAGGGTGAGGGGCCTTGGAGCCCAGAGGTGATCTACAGCAAGCCGGACTAGCGTTAGACTTCGAGAAGGACTTGCGCGGCCTAGTGAGATGGACGGAGGGCCACTAACCCCGGGGTCAGGGCTGTGGGCACGGCCGGGCCCCAGGGAAGGGCAGCGGAGATGCTGGGGCTCGCTCCTCCCGCCCGGGCCGGGTATTTTTAGGTCTCACCACAGATGAGTAATTTCTCTGACTTGGAGCCAAGGCTGGGGTTGGGGGTGAAGGACTGGAGGGAGGCGCTCGGCCTGCCCTGGGGACACCCAGGTCACTGGGGTCACCGCCCTGGCCGGTAGGAGTCCCCCTTAGCTCTAGCCTACATCCTTGGGGAGGTCTCATGTGGGGCCTGCAGCTACCTTCCCCCCAGAGGCCCCGGACACCCCGGCTTCTCCCTCCCAGCTTAACTCGCCCCCAAGGACGAGAACCCCTGGGCCCCAATCCGCTTTAACTTCAGATTAAACGCTCTGAGTGAAGGAGACGGAGATGGACAGAGAGATGGAGAGCCCCAGGATAGCGGGATGAACACCCAGGGAGAAGACAGAGACCCCAAGAAGAGAGATGGAGACCCCAAGAGGGGGGCAGAGACCCCAAGAGGGGAGTTGATAGAGATCTAGTGAGAGCCAGAGAGAGGACAGAGACTCGGAGATAAAGGGGACTAGAGACCCAGAAAGAGGGGCCCAGAGGTCCACGGAAGGGACGCGGAGAGCAGAGGGGTGGACAGAGCCCCAGACGTGGGACAGGGGTTCAGAGACCCAGACAGAGGGGAACATACAGACCCAGAGAAAAGGGTCGAGAATGGAGTGGGGTGGGCAAAAGAATAAACCAGGTGATGAGGAAGACAGAACCAGGGACAGCGGCGCCGTCGGAGGCGGAGGGAGAAACTGGACAGATGGGTGGACACCCTCTCCCCCCGCGTCCGCGCATCGCCCGTCCATCTCTGGGTCTGAGCCCGGGTGGGCAGGAGCGTCCTCTGCGCCCCTGGCCCTC